TTGCAATTTCGCATCTTTTCAGCCTCGTCAGAACATTTGGGAACATTTGCCGGTAAAAGTGTGATTCGCCAATCTTTGAATCCACCAAAACAACAACGAAACTGTACACATTTGAATACACTTTTAGAAGGTACACTTTTGACTACTTGCCCGGCCTCGAAAAAGTGGCCGGATTGAAAAATATCGCTCGTTCAATTGAGCCACGACGACGACGACGACGACAAACATTAACTCATTCTTCACTGGACCGTCCACTGCCCGACCACGATGTGACGACTTTGCAACGTCGTTGTCACAAGTTGGCATGTCCACAATCTGGACGAATGGCGAGACTGTTTCCGGTCGACTTGCCCCTTGAACTCGGTCCCTCGACCTCTTCACGGGCAACCTTGACTCACCTCGAAGGACCGTTGGGTCTATTTTCCTCTTTCGCTCAGCTCATTTAACTGACCAACTAACAAATTAATAAGCAACCAGACATCCAATTAACCAATTTTGTGGTTTTAAATAGATTTACGAGACCAATGCACCAAATCGCTGACAGACGAATCGGAAAATCAAACAACAAATCGCTCAAAAATTAAACCTTTCTACCAAGCAACTAATCATGCAAATAATTAATTACAAAAGTGAAAACTGAACCAAGAAAATAATCATCCAACCAACCTACCTACTAAATAGCCAGCAGACTAATTACTCTACGAAATAACCCAACCAAACAACCAAGCAACCAATCAAGTAATCATTTAACCAACCTATCAATTAGCTTAACATCCAATAGGCTAACCATCAAAATATATACCAAATCAGCAAACCCAATAATTATTCAACTAATCAGCAAACCAACAATCCAACCTAATAATTACTCAACCAACTAAACAATCAACAAATTCATCAAACAAGCCATAATGCAAAAAACTAATCAAACGACCAAGAAACCATTCAAGTAATCATTTAATCAACTAATTATTCAACTAATCCGCAAACCAACAATCCAACTGAATAATTACTCGACTAACTAAACAATAATGCAAATAACTAATCAAATGACAAAGCAATTAAGCAATTAATCATTCAACCAATAAACCAATTAATCTTGCATCAAAGCAACTAGCCGCCAGAATATACACCAGAACAGCACTTCCCCTAAGTAACCAACTAATCATCTTACTAACCTACCTGTGAACTAATCAACTAACAAAGAGAACATTTAATCAACCAATTAATCAACTGACTAATTTAGATTTGATGGCGTTGGGGTGTTTTTTGACAAAGTATTAAATCTGACGGCTCCTCAGTACTTTTTCCATTTTAATGTGTTACGACTTTTGATTGATCCTAAATTATTCTCGTAAATGTTGGAGAATCATTTTGTAGAGCATTAAAACAAAATTGAAAGTTAGCAGATTCATTTCTATTTCATGCGCCGAAGACCAATCGCCCACAATCCATCTTTTATGCACCATCTTGGGGTTTATCTTTTGGAAATTATCGTCTCGAAGCTATTCCATTCAAAGCTGCATAAAAATGCGACTGCAACTGCTCCTTAAGGGTG